GTGAAAGCTTTGGCGGGTAAACTATTAAATCGGGATAAAGATATTCACCCTTCAAGGTTTCGGATTCAGCTTGCATTTGCTGGTGCGTGAAATTTTTAACTGTTTTCCAATGTTTGAACTATTTTTGCATAGACTAAAGTAAAAGAGTGCGTGAAATTTTTAACTGTTTTCCAATGTTTGAACTATTTTTGCATAGACTAAAGAACAAAGCACTGGTGTGTGAAATTTTTAACTATTTTCCAATGTTTGAACTATTTTTGCATAGACTAAAGTACAAAGCATGAAAATCATTAATAGGCAATCGTTCGATGGGCCGAATTGCACAAAACGCATTATCGCACCGGCTAGTCTGTTGAAATTTTTAACTGTTTTCCAATGTTTGAACTATTTTTGCATAGACTAAAGCACAAAGCAGTGAACTGGTGCATGAAATTTTTAACTATTTTTCAATGTTTGAACTATTTTTGCATAGACTAAAGTACAAAGCAGTGAAAAGTTTTTAACTGTTTTTCAATGTTTGAACTATTTTTGCATAGACTAAAGTACAAGGAAGTGAAATCTTTAACTGTTTTTCAATGTTTGAACTATTTTTGCATAGACTAAAGTACAAAGCAGTGAAAATCATTTTCTTAACTGTTTTTCAATGTTTGAACTATTTTTGCATAGACTAAAGTACAAGGAAGTAAAAATCATTACGATCGTTCGATGGGCTGAATTGCACAAAACGCATGGTCGCTAGTCTGGTGCGCGTTGCTATTTATTTGGGTTTATTGCAGGGGTACAACTTGAATGCACGTGATGAAGGTGGATGGACACCGTTGCATGAAGCGGTGGGAGCACTGAAACTGGAGAATGTGCGAATTTTGGCGCAAAGTGGAGCAAATCTCAATTTGCGATCTAATGAAGGGACATTGTCAGCCGAGGGAGAACGCACAGTGAGTTCTTTTCTTCGATTTTCAGTAGCTCGTTTTTGTAAATTATTATTTTTCATGATACGAAAGTCCAAAAATGCATAGTTTTCCCCAATTTTCATGGGCAGATGTATAAAACTTGTTGTTGGCGAAACGGTGTACTAAATAAATCTACAAACGAAACTTTTGTCTATCTACAAATTGTTTAGACTTGAAGTGAAAATAATTGCTCTAAGAGAGGGCGGAGACGAAAAAAGCCAAGTATCAATGAGGCTTGACATGTAATTCGGAAATTTGAGTTGAAGACTGCCTAGTTTATGTATGTGAAACGAAGTCGCTGGTCTTTTTAACAGCGATGAATTATTTCAGGATAGTGGAGGTCTGACCCCGTTAATGGAAGCGTGTGATAGGGGAGCCACAGCGATCGTTAATTTGTTGCTACAGTACGGGGCGAATGTTGCATTAAAAAATCGTGACGACTGGACGGCGCTCGATTTTTTCCGCAATGCCATGAAAATGGGAATGATTGAAAATGAGGATTTGGTGGAAGCTACGCGTCTTGTATCACTGATGGAAAAAAAGCTAAAAGAAGGTTTCTTAAAAAAATTAGCTTCAATAATTCGTGTCCTGTGCTTTATAGACTTTCTCCTCCGGCAGCATGCTATAAAAGCACTGCGAAATGCTGCATGCTTTGGTTTAGCTGGGCTGAGAGAAAGAGAAACAAGGTATACACCGAACGAGAGGGGGCGTGGGGCGATTCGCTGTGACGCAGACTTTGCGTGGCTTGAACCGAAACATTTCTTTTTCTTTACCTTAGTGGACCGAAACATTTCTTGCCATTGTAATATTTTTTTAAAAGTATTTTACCAGTTCTACTAATTTCTTAATATTATTTGCTTTTGTCTTCTTTCAACTTTAAAATATTTTCCTGTTGCCTTGAAATGTTATTTCGAAATCTGATTTGCGAAAATGGCCTGGAGTTCGGTGGCGAGCAACCGAACTACTCATTTTTCGCAAGTAGCATAGTTGTTTTTGTGATCCACCCTCGCAAGATGACATGCAGCAAGAGCTTCGCGCACGAGGAAGCAGAATGTTGAGGACGAAAGTGTCAATGTAATTCGTTACAAGATTGCAGATGAACGGTATTAATCTAGCGGAAGTTGGCATCTGCGTTTGTTTGACCAGAATCTGGTTTTTCTAGTCGAATTTTTGCACATTGAATAGGTACTTTCTGTTTTGGAAACTATGCTTTACGGATACGATGCGTAGTTACTGATGAAAGCAAAAAACTGAACGTTGGCGCTATGACGAAGATCGCAGCATAGCAGGAGATGGTGTGTTTTTTAAAGGACAAACTTTTATCAGATGAACGGTGTACAGAATGTTACTGCAGCTGCGTGAGGAAAGAAAATCTTTTGGATAGAACCTTGCCTACCAATGATTGATATCACCGAGAAAGTAAATGGGCACTCGAACATAGGCTCCGAAAAGTTGACACACATGTACAGAGTGCGGGGGGAGGGGGAGAGGGTGCAGTATACTGTCTGAAAGGTTTAGAACCAAACATTTGGGGGCCAAATTGGCTGGCGTAGTTGCGCCCGTGGCATGGGAACGTCTTAGTAATAGCACTAATGTAGATTCTTCATTTCATTTATCTAAAGAGACTTATCAGCTGCCCTTCTATGTTACTGCTAAAATAATAATGGGCCACTTTATCCAACTTTAC